CGGGAACACCGATCAACCGATTTGAATAATTCAAAAAACATTCGATTCGTATTGATAGGAAGACGTGCTGATTAGTTTTTGGCAAAGGCAGGTCTAGCCGTTCCGACGATACGAGGCAAAAAGTGCCAAAAACGGTAACTCGTCCGATTTTAATAATTCAAAAAACATTTTACTTGTATTGACTAGATGAAGAATTGTTGTAATTTTTGGGAAGGCACGTCCAGCGTTTATATACTCTCAACAAAAATAAGTTAAAAAATATCATTAGGCGGTTAAAAATGTTTATTCGACATAGGTACATCAAATGATCAGTTATTTTATAGAGATTTCAATAGTGTGTAATTTTTTTTGGGTTTCATATCTAGATTTTTAATTACGGTACGGAAAATCCAGCAATTTGCCTTAAGGCACGATGCCATGCATTCCACTAGTTTTAATTTTTTTTTGCTGGTCCAGTTATTTTTATATAATTTTTTAAATAGGTAATTTTTATAACTTTATGAATTTTATTATAATAACCCTTATTAATTTGGGAATAAAAATAATTAATGAATAAAGGAATTAATAAAATACACGCACGCAAATATGTATAAATATATATATATATATATATATATATATATATTTGTATATATATATATATATATATATATATATATATATTTATACAGGATGTCCCAGACCTCAACGTCAAGCCGAAACCTGGGTAATAGTATTACCTTAATTTCCTGAAAAAAAATATTTCAAGTTGTTTGGAAATTATGAGCTTTTAGGTGCAACCTAGAGCTTTGGTGAAATTATTACTATTTTTAGGTTATTTTGATTAATTTTAATTAATTTCAACTAATTAAATATGCCAACTTTTGATGAAACTTTCCAACACTCTTTAGTAAATTTTGACTTAAAACTAATCACAGTAACCAAAAAATGATCATGAAATCACCAAAGCTCTACGTTGCACCTAAAAGCTCATAATTGCCAAACAATGTGAAATATTTTTTGAGGGCAGTTAAGAACAATATATTTATTCCGTTTTGGCTTGACTTCATTATATTCAAATATACATAATTCATTTTTTATTAATTTGAAAACAAAACCATAAAAACGACAAATATTTTGTGTTCTATAAAAAGCTACGCGTGAAAAAGATTTAAAACGTTCTAGTATCAGTTTAGGGAGATATTAATTATCAAATATAATTAATTACCAATATATTAGTTTTAATTTTAATAAATAAAATGATAGATTCATACATGTATTACTCATTGCATTCGAAGATCATATGTCTGTTTCTTGATCAATTAGCTTCATATTATTACTTTAAAATACAAAATTTCAATTTGAGTATCATCTTCTCCAGAGTCCTAACTTGGCGACGAGATTTTTCATTGCTATCGAACGTTTACTGAATAACTTATGTGGTGGGCATAATGTTGGATTGCTTGCGATATTACAGAACGGAAATTTGTCTCAGTTGAGGCGCGATAATAACTGCGGTCAAATCACAAACGCGCGCTCTTTACGATATTGACGGTTAATAGCTACTGTTTAACTGATTGTGATGTAATTTTTAAAAACAATATTGTTTTTATAACATAAATTACTGAGCTATTAAGATAATAGACTAACTAATAAAATGATTGAGTCAATAAGTGTTTTGCTACCGTTAGTGTTTCTTTGTGATATTGCGCTGTGCTATAACATTGATGTGAAATTTCCAATATTGTATAAAGGACCCAATAATGCGCATTTTGGATATTCCGTTGCAATAAGGGAAAATTGGTGAGTTTACAAAACAAAACATTTTGTTAATAATCTTATTGGTATTACATAAATTCCACGAACTCAAGCTCTTTATATAACATTGAGTAAGATTGAATCAAGTAATAATCATAATCTTATGAATCAAATTAAAATACATACAAGTTGATATCTGGCGTCATCTTGAAGATATTCATACTTTTTATTGAACACGTGAGATATTTTATATTCAAATAAAGCGTGTGCTGATGGTATGACTAATATTTCAATCATACTTGGCATAAATTAAATTGCTTTAAGTTATTTATATATACCTAAACAATGTATATGTATGAATAGAGATTCATCTTATAACGGGACGGTACGGGTCTAACTTTAGTAAGGTCTTCCTAACATTAAGCGGCAATGATCAATTTTCACTTATTGTTAGAAATGTGAATAAAAAATATACAGAATATATTCTATAGATTTATGTATATTCAATTGTTTCCATTATTAATACCGCGGTTATAACCGTTAGTGTAACAATTGGGTAAATAAAGCATGAAATTTTTCTTAATTTGCTCGATTTTGCAAATTGCATATATATGTATATATATATATATATATATATATATATATATATATATATTATGCATATCTATATATAAATAAATATATAAATACAGTAAAATCCGCTTAGTATGACGCCGGACAGATTGGCGTATTTCATATGCAAAGTTCGGTTTTCATACAAAATACTTTAAAAACAGTCGAATATAATGACTTCTTTACATTAACATATCGCTTATAAAAACCGATTTTCAAAAAAGACCATTCAAAATGACCGATATGATTTTACACCTCCGGTATCTGGAGGTGAAAAAGCAGCCAAGGTTTTTTTTAGAGAAAAATAAAGACAGATTAACCGTTTTGCCATTTCTAATGACTGCCGCCCTATTGAAATGCTGTTTTTCACCACTTTGTACTAGTTTTATAGCCTAATTATTAACCTAATTGTTATTGTAATTACCGCTCTATAGTCCGGAATTTTCGACAAACCGGCCGGCACCTAGGCCGGTCCCGAGCGTGCCGGACTAACTTATACTGTAAATAAAGTACATAAGATAGTTTTTTTGAGAATGTTTTGGATGACGTCCTTTTATTATTATAAAGTTATAAAGACTTATAAATAAATCTTTATTTTTGAAAATATTAAAGATTAATTCATAAATCTTTCCCTTTTAATCAATGTATTGATTTGGAAGAACCTACTACTACTACACACACACAAACACACACATATAAATATATATACGAGGTGTGTTCAAAAAGTACCCGGAATTACTAATAATTAAATTTCGCGGGTCTGGAGTGTCTGATTGTCAAATTTTTTTTTTTATTGTGTTGGTATACATGCCCCTAAAGTATGATGAAATTTTCAGCTATATTCACTGTTTACTTTGTCTGTGGTAGTCGCTAAGGTTCGACGTGTTTTTCTGAGCTCGGCGATTTTTACAATGGAAGAATTGAAAAGTCAAAGAATTTGTATTAAATTTTGCGTAAAAAATGAAATAAAGTGTTGCAAAGTGCAAAAATTCACCAGATATGGCTCCGTGTGACTTTTTCCTATTCCCAAAGTTGAAGAGACCCATGAAAGGACGGCGGTTTTCCTCGATTGAAGAAAATCGCTGAGAGTGCTCAAGGACATATCAAAAAGTGAATATCAAGGGTGCTTCGAAAATTGGAAAAAACGCTGGCATAAGTGTATTATATCTGGGGGGGACTACTTTGAAGGGGACCACATTAATGTAGACGAATAAATAAATATTTTTTTGAAAAAACGAAAATTCCGGGTACTTTTTGAACAGACCCGGAACTTTATATATATATGTTTAATTTGTGTTTAATATATATATATATATATATATATATATATTTATGATAAAATTGTTTCTTGGGCATCCATCCAGTAATTAAAAACAGTTTTATTGAAAGAAAATGTTTTTATTCAGAGAACATACGTTTCGGGTCTTGATTTGACCCATCTTCAGTGCATACAAATTAATTTGAAAAAAAAACACAAAACACATGAAATTGCACGCAAAACATAAATATGAAACAAAAAACTGATAAAACGTAAAGTTATGATAAATTATAAAAAATTGTAAAATTAAAATAAATAATATATTTTATTATAAAAAAGCTTATTCCAAACGAACATGTTGTCAGCTTGGAGTACGTGTTACGTGTTACTGGATGGATGCTCAAGAAACAATTTTATCATATTATTTCACCATCTGAAGAAAAACCTCTCGCTTTATATATATTTTGATTGATTTGATTTGATGATAACATCAAAACTAACTTTCTAACACACACATAAACACATATATATAAATAAATAAATAAATATATATATATATATATCTATCTTTTGCTTCAAGTTTATGTTTTTATAAATAAGTATTTCTACTACAAAATGATAAACCATTTCTCTAAAATAAATAACTCTCCATTATCTATTTAGAATTTTGAAATGAGTATCTGTAGTATGAGAAATTATAATAATATTGCCAACGTATATGCCATTTATAATAAGAATCTCAAGAAATATTGAGTAGCGATAATAACTGCATTCAATAACAAATGTAAATAACAATATGAATAATTGCGTGTAATCAAGAACTCGTTGTTTGATTAAAAGTTTCAAGTATTGCATATAACAAATCGTTTGTCTTGCTTTGTTTTATTTATATACTGCAATTATGGAGATCATCAATTTTATTATAATTAGATAGAATCTTTGGCTACTACAAGTGTGCTAATGATTATTTTTCGATATTTCAAGAAGAAACTTGATAGAAAAATTCTCTATTTCTATCATACGTTTCATTTTTATTTTTAATTTTACAAAATTAATTGAATAGTATTTTTAATCATTAATTGTAAAGTAATTACAAAATGATAACTACATATTGTTTGAGTATTTGCTGTCATAACAAAGTGTTAACTACTATGCTCCACAATCTAATAAAAAATTTTTGGGGCACAAATTTTATACAGTTTTCATAAATATTATATGAGAACAGGTCAAAAACAAATATATTCTATTATATATTTATCAATTTATTATGTTTAATAAAAAATATTTTTGTAATAAAAATATTGATCATACGGAGATGAGCAAAATTAAGCATATTCAGTTTATATATATATGTATATATATATATATATATACATATATATTTATACATATTATGATTCTCAGGGTTCAAGTTGGTGCGCCGAAAGGGAGCAATCCGTTTCTTCCTCAAGTCACAGATCCTGGAGCTGTGTACAAATGTCCTTTCAAAAACTCTTGCAATGTTATAGATATCAATTCCATGAACAGTAAGTATATAGTCAGAATATTTGTTTACATTTCATATGAAAAGAGAAATATATAATAAGAAATAGAAGCCAGTGTTTAGTTCTTTCTCTTTCAATTCAAAATATATTTCAATTCTTACAGCTCCAGGAAAAGACCACAGAAAAGCCAATGGGTGGCTGGGTGGTGCTATGGATGTTAGCACGTCAACCCATTCTTATGCTGTAAGTTAATATTAGATTTTAGAATTTAATTTAAAATAGAAAATCATTTTTAGTTTATTATTAGGAACATTTAATTTGTACAAGCCGATTATGTGTAATTTTGTGTTTTAGGTTTGCAGTCACAGAATGATAAATCAGAAATGGAACTCGTATTACATGATAGGTTCTTGTTATTGGGGTCACAGTCAAGCAAATATGCAACCCCAATATGTTATGACACCTTTAGATGATCACGAGATATATACTCTGCAAGAATCAACTGCGAACTCGAATCCAGTTTCGGTCTACGATTGGGGAAATGGTCTGGCTGGAATGTCAGTCCACATACCAAAAAATCTTACAAATGGGGTACAAAATTTAATAACTATAATATCTTAAACATTTTGGTATTAAATATTCAGCAAAAATCAAATATAGAATGAAAAAATAAATGAACGATATAGTATATATTTTCAATTTAGAATATGTAGTTGCATCTAGGCATATGTCTTATCGATTTTAACCTATATCTTATCTATAAGACATTTACAAATGCTTGTTATCAATTATTATATTACAATCATTATCACTGATCTCAAAAACCATTTCTTGATATCTCAAATAGATAAAAAAGTAATAAATTTATATAAATATTATTTCAGAACATGCAACTTGTGATAGGGGCTCCAGGTGTGTTTAACCTTCGTGGGGCTGTAATATTGTATCGCAACCTGGAAAGAGGACTCGGACAACCATTAGTCACAAATCCTTACAAAACTGTTGGCGGTCCAATAGATGATGATTATGTTGGATATCAAGTATCATCAGGTTATTTCTACAATCGCGACAAAGTTTTGTACGTGGCGAGTGCCCCAAGATCGATGTATAAAGGAAAGGTATCTAATATTCAAGCAGTAATCAAATAATATATTATTGCATTTAGAAATATTAAATATTTTATAACTGTGATATTAATTTTTTTTTAATTACAATATTTATTACAACTGTTAAATAGCAATATTGATAAATAATAACATAAATTTAAATAAATAAGAGTGCAAAGGATAGAATTTACATGAAAATAATATCCGTAGTATGATGATTTAATATAAAATAAAAGCAAATAATAATGAAAATAAAATTAATAAATAATATAAATAAAATTTCTGAATAATAAAATAATACTAGAAAAACAATAAAATATAACAAAATAACAATATTAGAAATAGTAAGATAATAATAATAATAATAATATTAATGTTAGCGTTTACAAATGGCTATTTATGAGATCATTGGGAATTTTTCGTTTTTAACTGTGATATTAATGAAAAATTTAAATAATTTTGTAAAAATAAATAATTACATTCGTTTTAGGTAATAATTTTTGAATTTGCCAGAACAACAAGAGAGGCTATGATCATTAAACAAGAACTTGTTGGTAAAACTATTGGAGAATATTTCGGTGCATCTATCGCAAGTGGCGATCTCGACAATGATGGCCTGGACGACTTAGTAATCGGAGCGCCTCAATGGAGCAGCGTTGAAGATGAAGGACGAATATATGTTTATATGGGTTCAAATACAGTGAGAGTCATTTCACATTTATATTAAAACTTTAACTTTAGTATTTGGAGTTTTACTTATTATTTATTTTATATGCAGGGCCGATTGAGTCTTAGTATTTCATTTGATGGTTCGGTGAAGGGCGCTATGTTTGGATATGCCGTACAATTTCTCGGAGACGTCGATGGAGATGGATACAATGGTAATTCTTAAAGAAAATTGTATATGCATTAGTATTTTTATTATACATATTTAATTATTTCTTCAGATTTGGCAGTTGGAGCTCCATATGACGATGATTTTAGAGGTGCTTTATATGTATATTACGGTGGTCCATCAGGTCTATCAGCTGCTCGAAGCACAAGGATATCTGCGAGTGTATTATCACCTGAATTGAAAGGCTTTGGTGTTAGCTTCAGTAAAGCTGAAGATCTCGACAGCAATGGATATGGAGGTAACGTAAACAGCTAAACAATTGAGAACAAAACACTTTGAATTGACAAGTATATTGAAGTCTATGCATTTCGATTTGCATTACTTTTTCTATTCCAAATTTAGATTTTGCAGTTGGTTCCTTTATATCTGGCCACGCGGTTCTGTTAAGATCAAAACCAGTGATGGATGTCGTGGTGTCAATAAAAACAAAATCAAATAGTTTAGATCATTCAGCAACACAATTCGAAATTGATTTATGTGTTTTTTATTCCGGACGTGGATTACCAACAGACATGGGTAATTTATAAACCGAGTTTTATAACATTTTTAGCATTAAAATATGCAGTGTAACGTATAAAAGAGCTTTATAAATATAACTATAAATGACTTTTATTAACAGTTGTGATACGAAATGTATCAGCCGATGCAGCTTTTGGGCGTGTTACTTTATCAAAAACAGGAAGATTTCAAAATGAAGCTAATGTGAAGGTGGCGATAAACAGAGAAACGTGTGAAACTATCACATTTGATCTGAAGGTTAATATATCAATATTTAAGATGATGTAATAATAATATTAAACCTTGAATTGCATTTTAGGCAAAAAATAATTTTGAACCAATGGAAATTATATCGTCTTATAGCCTTTTGCCGGAATCAAACTATAGCAGTGTTCTTTTATATGGGACTCAAAATTTTCCTAGTCAGTATATTTCTCATATGCGCATACACACATATATATATGTGTGTATATAATACGGTTTTTATTAAAAATAATATTTTTGGAAATTTAACATTCAGATTACGATGGTTTTTGTACGAATTGTCCAGTGATGAGATTAGGTTCTAAGACTCGAGCTTCTGCCACAATATCTTTCGCTTCTAACTGTGGAAATGACGGTCAATGTACATCGGATTTACATGTTGACGTTAAATTTAATGGTACAACGTAAGTATAAAATGAAAAATGCATTAAAGATATAATACAAAGGAAAAAAGAAAAATTAATGATATAACAAAAAAGCTAGGAGATTGAAATACAAACTAAAAGCTACGGCTAAGTAGCTAAAGTATTATAATAGTAAACGATAGCTAGTACTAATCAACTATTTGGTTGATTACACAACAATTAGGTCGATTTAAATTCCACTAATGGATGTATTTTTGTGTTCGTATATTTTTAGCAAAATGGTATACATTCTGGGCTCAGATAAAACATTGCAATTGGAAGTTGAAGTCCACAATAAAGGTGAATCTGCTTACTCGACTCAACTCCATGTTAAAATACCAAAACCAGTTGATTTAGAAAGCATTCCGTCTAGTTGCCAACAAGATGATGACGCTGGAGAATATAATATAGCAATTACTTGCTTCGTAGCAAACCCTCTATATAATGATAAAAGAGTAAGCAATATATTATATTTTATTCATATAGGTTATCTGAACGAGTGTGAAAGCATAATAATTTATAATATTTGTAGTATTTCTTCACTCTTCCTCTGGATATGAGCAAAGTAGGCTTATTAGAAGACTATGATATGACAGACAACGAGTTATTATTCAACGTGGCTGCGACTACAATTAGTAGTAACATTGAAAAAAATAATATTAAAGATATAGCTATTCAGTTGAAAAATGAATTCGATATTACGGTTACTGGGTAAGATAAATAATTATACAATTACTGAAAGGCTTTTGGCAATGTTCATTAAATGTAATTTGTTACTCCATAGTAAAACGCCGCAAGATGCATTATCATATGATACACCCGATAATGAAACTGCAGTGGAACTATTGAGATTTCAACATAATTTTATTGTCCAAAAATTTGGTGCAAGTCCTGTTCATCAAGCTGCTCTCTCCATAATATTTCCCTATGCAATGCACCGCGACAAAAATGAAATAAAAAAATTCTTAGTGGTTAGTACAACTTTGCTAAAGCCCTAGAATAAAGAAAATTTGAATCTTAATTGTAAAAATTTGGTATGCATTCCAGGTCCATTCAAATGCAGGATCGCAGGATGGCCAGCCACTACAATGCTCAAGTAATCAAATCAATTATCATGTCGAAAATGAATACTCAACTGAAGATTTTGATAGTTACGACTTTAATAATGAGGTATTTTTTAATTATAATGCAAAGACGATCTATTAAAAAGTAACAGATAATAGCAACAATATTTTAATTTTAATAGACTGAGATGTATAGAATGACAATGCCGCGGTCTCGAAAAACTCGTGATGTGAGCAATTATCAAGAATCGCCAGAAAATAGAACTTTATTGCTAAATTGCAATTCACCATCATTTTTGTGCTACGAAATTAAATGTCAAGTAGGACCTTTCTTTCAAGAACAAACAGTAGTTCGACTATCCATAGACATGGCTATGAATGTATCTGTTTTAAAAGGTAAGAAATAATATTCGAAGTTATTTTTAAATTTTATCTTGTATACACAATTAATACCAACATATTTTAATGGTCTAAGTAGATTTGAACTTAATTATTGTTGTAATTCAATTCCATATAGAATAGCAGTAGTATCTCTTATGGCAATTTTTCATATAACAAATTGTGTTTCCAAATTAACGTATTTTTCCATATGTGTTTTTATCAGCCTTCTATTGATTTCAGAAATTTTAGACGACAATGATGTTGCACTGTTTTCAAGCATTGCCAATGTTAACGTCATTCGACCCTTCGGATTAGAACAGACTGCTACTGGAGGAATATTGTTACGTCCTGATGATTTTGTGTTATCAACATTATTCAGTGGATCTCCTAAGAATGGAACTATCGTACCATGGATAATTGCCGTGGCTGTTGCTGTGGGACTTCTCCTCTTGGGTCTGGTGATCGCTGGACTTGTCAAGGTATATAAATTATAAAAGATCACAATATAAGAAAATTATCTTTGTTAGAGTTCTACCTAATTATTATCTCCAACCGCTATTATCTCACCTATTATGATCATATTTTCGGAAGTTAGTTTTTACTATAATGAATAACTCATTTTTTCAGGCCGGCTTTTTCAAGAGGACGACTAAAGAAGAATTAGAAGCACTCAAAGAGGCTGATCAGGTAAATGCGAAAAAAGTATATCTATAATCCAATAACCATCAATAATCTGCCATTATTTTTATTAATATAAATTTTCGTTTGTTTTGAAGTTTATTATATATATATATATATATATATATATATATATATATATATGACCATTTTTTATATTCCCAGAGTGCACCAGGAATAAGTGAAGAGGAAGCTTTAGCGCACAGCCATGATGTTGAAAACTCATCCGAAAAAGAAGAAGCTTAAACTGTGTTGAATGCAATTTCAAGTTGTAAAATTTTTGTGCTTTTTGTATATAGATATCTACAAATATTTCGCAGAAGAAGTTTAAGAATGTTTGAGAATATTTGAAATCAAGAGAAAGTTGTGTCATAATCATAAACGTATTTAGATCATAAGTAGTAAACATTCAAATATCACTTAAGTAGTGTAAATATGAGACTGAAAGTGAACGATTAAGCATTTTTATATTTAAAGTCATATAATTTATTTCTAAGATATAGATATAGAATATCTGTGATGAATAAATTCCAAACGTTATATTATAAATTATTAATAAATCAATTCTATATAAAAGGAATTAAACTTTTAGTATAATAAATATTTAATATCATTATTTAATATTAAATTGTTACCCAATATTTTACATAACATCTTTGGAATGAAAAAACGTTTAAATACAGACCCAAATTTAGTTAAAGGGATATCTGAAGCATTTTACTTTCGTTGAGTTTAATTTATATTGATATTATAATTAGGTAATGAAACAGATATTGAAAGTACTTATTAGGCAGCTACATTTCACCCATTTAAACAAACTTATAAAAAATATGAAGTAATATCAGAAGAACAAATGCACACATTGTGAACACAGAGTTTCGGAAAGTGTATCAAATAATAGATATGTATTATATATATTATTTTTAATATCATTAATTATAATTTAATAGGTTATATAAAACATGGTAATAAAATTAAAAAAAACAAATTGCTGTCGGTTTATGCCTGAGAAAACGCATTAAGAAAAAATCAGAATAAAAATAAATATATTTATTTATCTCATCAAACACAAGTGCGTCATTTCTAGTAAAATATCTTATATAGAACAGTAAAGTGCCATTTATATTAACAATGCCTTAGACCGTTTTTACTTAATACTTATATACTGATTATACCATCGCCAAAAGAATATATAATTTTATTATAATTTGGAACCAAGTACATCAATAATCAAGACTTAATTAAAACTAATTAAACTTAAAGATTGAATACGTACGCTTTGTCTCAATTGCATTAACTTATACAATTATTCTAAATATGTATTTATCACATAACAATTGAAATTCACTCGCACGATCATTATCTACATATTTTACATAGTTGAAAAATGAAAGAATTTAACTATTTCAAAAATGATAATCATTCCAGTAATTTCTGAATGAGCAATTTATAAATTATAGGAATGCTGCCGACTATTTTGTTGGCTTTGCAGTTTTGGGCGATGCCTTGCCTTCGGCTTCAGAGGTGGGATTCGAACCCCTGACTGAAAACGTGACATAATACTTTTTATTGACGTCTAATTTATCTGATGGCAGTGTTATCAGTTGCTTATCATTTCCATGGGATAGTTCTAATGCCACGGCGTTCTTGTCGTGCTTTTCGCCCGTCTTGATGCGTGGCAGAAAGCTCGGCTCGGGAACTTTGGGAAAGCCGGGCTTAGGAATCGTGTGGTGGTTCATCAGAGGAACTAAAAATTTAGTAATGTAAGTTTTTACACCAGGTATATATACACATAAGTCTTATTGGTATGTATGTGCGTATACATAAGTGTGCATATATGTGCTCTCAAAAAAAAAATGACGACTGCACGATACAAATCAGGAAATTACTCGATTGAGTGCCTTAGTAAGTTATTGAACTTTAAAAATTAGATCGAGTAGACTTAAAAATGACTGTGATTGCTATTGGTAATTAAGAAATTATATTGCAAATTAAAACGCTAATTTCTTTTTTTATCATTAAATAAAAAATGTTATCATTAAAATTATTATTTTACTAAAACATTTGTGCAACTAAAAGATTCTTTAACATCACATGGTTCACTAAGTTCAATGGGACATATTATATAAATTTTATATAAGAGGTAAAAAGATCCACCACCGATCTCAAAAACAATTTTACAAGAGATAAATTGAATAAATAGTTAGTCCAACTATATTTATGAATATTTCTGACAAAATACCAGATCAAGGTTATATTATAAATTTATATTTTCATCGGTTGAATACTGTAGCTATTATTTCAAAAAATCCATTTAAGATTAAAAATAAGACATTGGACCTGTTTGCCCCCTAGACTTTCGAGTTTATCCCACCTAAGGGGTAAAAAGAACCAGATAACAAATTTTTGAAAACAGCAAAAAAACATTTCTACAATGATTAATTAGCTGGTGGTTTAACTGAACATAGTCAGATAGATGGTTGTTTGATATGTGTTATTTGATGCAATGTAATTGATTTTGTTTTCACAATATAATTGCTCAAAGTCAAATTGGACCTTTGTTCCCCGCTCTAACCTATATGCTATATTATGCGTAGATATAATATTTGCGTTTTATTAGTATCATTCGTATATCTACTATATAAAAATATAACTCATCCATAATGAGAAATATTGATGACATGCATTTATGCATTACAATTGCCAATTTAAAGGAAAGATGCAAAGTATGTACTTACTATATGCAGCACACGGAATTCCAGTATATGCATGAGTAGCATGATTGCATCTGAATGTTTTTGTTGTACAAAATAATGGATTTGATTTGCATTCATTTTCTATAAACGATTCAGCTATTGTCTTATAATTGCTACTACCCACTTTTTGTAATTTTTTCAAAGTGTCGTATAAATGACGTTCAAAAGCTTCATATGTGAATTCTTTGTCTGTATATCTACAAAGAAAAAGAATGTATTGATCAATGATATTAGTAGAAAATGATAATATTTTTAATTAACCTGGCTACTTGAGGATTGGATCTATGATATTGGTCGATTGCACGTTTAACTAAAACAGCTTCGTGTGCGCGAGATGATCGGATTTGTAATCGTTTCAGATCCAGAAGATGTTGAAATATTATTCGCTCTGTATAATACCTAAAACAGAACACACATTAATTGTATTATAAGATTATATTTAAATGTTATCATATAATATTTTATTAAAAGTTATCAATATTCTTCTTTATTAATAAATTTTATTTCATCAAGTAATAATTATTTTATAAAAATTGTATCGCACCAAAAATGACAACAAAATTTATTAGATCATCTTATGTACTGCTGTTTATGTGCACTTTATTCACTATAAGCGCAAATTCAATTAAATTGAAGCTGTTTATTAAACTGCGTACAGCAAAATTGGTACGCATTGTAAAGTTTTGGAAATGCTACGTGCTAAGTGCCAAATATAAATTATATTTGATTTATTATTCATATTTTTATGATAAATTTGATAACCTGTTAAAATTATGTATTCACCTTCGTATATTAGCTTGCATGCTTTGATTTACAGTTGTCATATTAACAGCGTTTTTGTCGCCCGGTTTTCTGTCTATCGCTCTACCTGGTCTAGTGACTTTTTTCTCAGGAATTTTTCGATTCTTAGATACTGCTTTAGGTCCAACTGACTTCGGTCTAGTGATTACTCTAGGGCTTGGTTCAAAACCGGAATCCATCATTCCGCTAGACTCATATCCACGCTCGGACACTTCCTCACTCAGTGTTCGTGATCTATTTTTCGTACGCCTTTTTAATTTTTTTCTTCTACTTGGTGATCCCATAGATGACCAAGTATTAGCGGCGGAAGGAGGTGCCGTTGTATCAACAATAGAGCTATCGAGAACACTAGATTGACCTTCAAATTTTTCGGAAGCACAAAAGCGCAAATCATCCATTGCTGTCCTTGGAGTCTGATTTTTTTCAAATTTTTCTGAATCCTCCGACGAGTCAGTAGTATCATCTTCTGAAGTGTAAAGTGATTCCTTACGACCTTCATCATTTTTATTGTATTCCAGTTGAATAAAACGTTCAGGAGGCGGCACCATTTCAATCATATGCAAAGCCGGAGTTGCTTCGAAACTTCCGATAAAATTTTCTGCTGCGATTGGTTGATTAATTCGTTCTCCAATTAATTTATCTTCCAAGCTCATTTGATCTTTATTATCCATTTTAGATTCATCAGCAGGTAAAGCTTTAGAATCAATTATTTTATCTGTATTATTTGGTACGGGTTCTACATCAGTACTTTTAACAATATTTTCTGCCTCTTGTTTTACTTCTTTAATATTGTTTTCCTCTTTATTAATATTTTCTGAATTTTGCAATAATTTATCTGATGGTAAATTTAAATCTTCTGACATTTTTTGAACCAACTCAGTAGCTGATTCAGTAATGTGTTCCGCTAACTCTGTAGTTTGTAATCCCAGTTTTGTTTCAACTGCACTAATTTGTTCAGATTTTGTTATATCTGATTGTTCCTTAGATTGTTCAACCAAATCTGTAGTATCTTTGATTGATCCTTCAATTAAATCACTATTACTTTGTTCACTAATTTGAGGAGCTGTCGAAGGGGTTTGAATTTCTTCGACCTTTTTATCCATAGTACCACTTTCTATTTTACCGTCTCCTTCGTTTGACAAATTATTATTCAAATTATTTATTGTTTCCATGCCTTGAACATCTTGATCATTTTCTTCAGTTTTATGAATTTCTGCTTCGGTAATTACTTTGCCTTTTTTAGTACCAGAACTTTGCATATCGTTTTCACTTTCTGAAGTCGTAAAAGTTTGTTTTTTGTTTTTAATATTTAACTGAGAGAGTTCACTATCACTAACATCTTCGTTTTGTTTAATTTTAGATTGTTTAACTTTTTTTTCAGTCATAGTTGATGTTGTAGTTTTTGTTGACTCACTTGTCACCTTTTTTCTATCCTTAGATTTGGAAGTAGGCTTATCTAAACTACTATCTGCATCATTTTTTTGTTTGCTTTTACTTATTACTTTTTCCTGCTTTTTCGTTTTGGATTCTTTTGTTTTGCTACTGCTTTTCTTTGATGCATACTTATCATCACTTTCGCTTAGTTCACTTATTTCGGAGCTTTTTTGCTTCTCTGATTTTTTACTTCTAGCCTTTTCATTAACTCTGCCACTACTTCGAGATTTGGTCCTAGTTTTACTATTATCAACTATTTCATCTTCGTCACTTACTGATCTTCTATATCTGACTTTTCCTACAACTTTGTCTGATTTTCTTTTAGCTTTACTTGTATTTATTATTTCAACCGTATCGTCTATATCTTCAGAATCATCTTCTTCGCTTTCACTTTCACTTTGAGAATCTGCATTTGGTGTAACAGTTCTTTTTGTAGTAGTTTCCGTTTTTAAAGTTTTGCGTTTAACAATTCTTTCTTCACTTATATGTCTGGGTGATTTGGCTTCATTTTTCCTACTTTTTCTACGTGATTTAGGAGAGCTTGAAACACTCTTCGAGACTCGATTTGGCTTTTCTTCTTCACTGACATCCTCTTCGCTGTAAGAATGCATTGTTCGTCTAGTGTACGTTTTCGTCTTATTACTCGTTTTTGATTTAGACGAACTATGACTACTAGTTTTATATTTCTTTCCTCTATCACTACTAAATTCTTCACTCGACAAAGTTTCATCTGAATCCTCGGTCGATATATGTTTTCTTCTTTGCGATCTGGGTCTATTAGATCGACTATGAGATCGATCTCTTGCTGGCTTCCGCCGTTCTTTGTAGTCACTGCTATTATCTTTGGAATCGCTGCGATTTATTTTTGATCGAGCTGATTTCAATTGCCTGGTGCTTCGGGAATTACTCCTTTGTCTTTCGCTCATGCTGGTACTTGATCGCTTATCACGTTGCTTATCACATCTCGAATGTGATCTAGTATGGATATCAGAATCACTATGACTATTTTTGCTGAGCTCTTTAATATCTTTGCGAGTGAGCCTCCGCGGTGATTGGAGCAAATATAAACGTTTGCCGTGATGGCATCTATGTATACACGTGCAAAATTCTTCTATATTCGAGTCATCTGAACTAGAACTGCAGTGGACTTTAGTCAAACTTTTAGTTCTGGAATTAAATATACACACTGAAAACTAAATAATATAATTGAAAAATAAATGTAAAGTAAATAACAAGTAGTACTTATAAATATCATTTCTAGTAAAAATAACACTATTTATTTTGCTAAATTTATTATTTAATTTCTCTAATAGATCTAGCTTGCATATTGAAAAATGTTTCGAGTGTAGAGTATTGGTTGAACTTGAATCACTTCTAATCTTTCATATAATAGCACAATCTACAAATGTACGGGCATGTCAACTATGTGAATAATAATTTCATTACATTATATATTAATTCTATTGCATAAAATTAAGTTGTTGCAACAAGAATAAAATAATCAATCTTAACAATAAAAAACAGAAGCTTGATCTTTTTGTCTATAATCGATCTTCGACAATAGTTGTATGTCACATATGTTTTTTAAATTAAAACTGATGGTTAATTTTATTGAATTGCTCTAAAATCTTTAGGACTCTCTAAAAATTCTAAACTGTTCTACTTTATTTAAATGCTCTAACTGTCTAATATAAAATATGAAAAAAACGTGATAACAATACTAAATTATTTCCTATAAAATTATCATTTTTTGTTTCACCTTATTCTTATGTTGTTGGGATTGTGTTCTATTTGTTGAAAGGTAGTTACAGCCTCAGGTTTTCCCTTATATTTATTATCGGAACTTGAATCCTTTTTTGGTTTGCGCGTGTCATCAGTTTTTGATAAACGACCTCCGCTCCTTAAAACACTGCTTCTGGTCTGCTTCACTGCGGTTGTAGGTGTAATACTTTGTAGTTTCACCTTTTGATCCTTATTGCTTTCCTCAGCATTCAATTTCACAGCCGGTATACCACCGTGAATTTGTAAATATTTCGCCGTAGATTTATTTCCTTTGTGCAGAGCACAGTCCAATGGTGTTACCATAACATCCCGAGTAGTTCTGTACAATGGATTCACAACAGCACCATGGTCGAGTAAAATCTAAAAATAAAAGCAAAACATATTAGTCATATTAGTACTAAAAAATCATGTCTATATTTTAATATTTGCCTACCTTGCAAATATCTGCATGGTCATGACTTGCTGCTATATGTAACAAAGTTTTTCCATCATGTCCACTAGAATTTATAAATCCATCTTTTAGTTGCAGAAGATATAAAACCAATTTGCGTCTACCTGATGCTACTGCATCATGGAGTGGAAGATCGCCTTTGATATTACGTATCCATAAATTAGCCTTATGATTTGCTGCAAAATAGATATTTTGTAAACCTCTTTTTTTGAATATCAATTTTTTATAATATCGGTTTTTTTACCTAGAATTTTAACAGTTTCTAATTGTCCTTTAGCACAAGCACAATGAGCAGGTGTACGTCCTTTACGGTCCTGTCTATCAGGTGCGGCGTCTAAATCAAGTAACAAAGAAGTAGCATCGGCGTGTCCAAGTGTGGCTGCATAATGTAACGAAGTGCAACCATTGCAATCTGATTAAATAAATATGTGAAGTACCACAAATTACATCTCACTATTCATTTGTGTATAAACTGTTTTCGTTGAAAATTTACCTATAACATCAACAGCAGCTCCGCATAAAGTGATAAGTGTTTCTATACACCCTGTATTACCACGAGACGCAGCACAATGTAAAGCCGTTAAACCATCCCTGAAAATTTATCATTGCACTTTTAGATTGAATTAATTAGTTTCATTCAGTCATGAATTATACTTAAATCATTTATATATATATTTATATATTTATTCTCAGAATCACCTGTCAGCTGCTTCCACATGAGCTCCAGCTTTTATCAGGGCTATGACAGCTTCTGGACTACCGGCAGCAGCTGCCCAAAGAAGAGGCGATCGCCCTTCATGATCAACTACATGGACTGATGTACTTTTTGCGTTAAGCAATTCTCTGAAAATAGTATAAAAGATTAATTTTTTTGGGGAGATATGAATTGTTTACACTATAGTAATACTTCAGGATTCGAAGGGCATGTCCTGGTATTGCGCCTTGAGCGAGCGGAGCACCGCATAGTTGAGCGGCGTAATGAAGTGGGCAACCACCTAATATATCAGGGGCTGATGGATTTGCTCCTGCAGATAATAGTAACCGGAGACAGTCTAACTCACAACACACTGAAATAAATGTATTATAAAAATGAGATGTGGTGAACACTTAAGTTAAATCTTCGCAAAAGTGGTATAAAAACTGGCTGGTATTAGTATTTAGCCTTAAGGCAAGTTACATGAACTTCCCGATATGTGTAAATAATCAACTTAATCAATAATAAACAAATTAATTTATGAGTAAAAAGTATTCCGAGTGGATTTATTACACATAATTAAAAACAAACAAACACGTTAACTCGGAGTATTTTCTAAAAGCAAATTTTCACAAATCAATAATTTTTATAATTGAACCAGTTTTCGTAGGACGTTAATGGTTTAGTATGTTCATTAAGACCAAGTAATCTATCGTTATGCCAAGTAAATCATCTAATTTTAATTTTAACAAACGTCAAAAAAACTACTCATTTTCTCAAATTTTGATGATTTTTTAAAATCAAACTACTAGTCGTAAGGCCGTAATATTTCAGTATGTTCTATAAGATCATGATATATATTGCCAAAAAAAGTTCCATAAAAATTGGCTTACATTTTTTTCAAAAGTTAATTACAAGAAAACGGCTCGGTAGATTTTCACCTAAAACTAATCAGTATTATTCCCAACTAATATCTTTCGAACAGTTTTTGATTTTTTAAAATCGATTTGGTAGAATGAGCTTAAATGTGGAAGAAAAGTTTAACACTCTTTTTCAAATTACAAAGAAACGGCTCGGCAGATCGTCTCATAAAACTGACAAACTATAGTTCTCATTGAGATACATCGAATGGCTTTAAAATTTCTGAAATCGGTTCGGGCGTTTTTGAGAAAACGTCGATGAGAGGTCTAATTTTGACAAATGCCAAAAAAACGATACCAATTTTTGCAAACGTTGACGAATTTTTAAAGCAAAACGGGTTGTCGTAGAGCGCAACTATTCTAGTATGATCTAGAAGACTATGGTATCTACCGTCAAAAAAAAATCATGACGATCGCCGAAATTTTTTTTTTAAATTTTTATTACAAGAAAACGGCCCGGCCGATCTTTACCAAAAACTAATCAGCACGATTCTCAACCAATATCTATCGAACGGTTTTTGAATTTTTAAAATCGATTCAGAATTGCGGGCTAAAACGTGGACAAAAAATTTTTCACTTTTCTGCGATTTACAAAGAAACGGGCCGGTCGATTGCCGCACAAAACTCAAAAACCCTAGTCCTCATCGAGATACATCGAATGGCTTTTAAATTTTTGAAATCGGTCCAGCCGTTTTTGAGAAAACGTTGATTTACGGCAACAAATCTGTTCACACACACATACTTTTTCCAAACTCGATCTCATTCGATTCAGAATGGCTTGAAACGTCGAGAAAACATAAAATTCGGATTTTTTTATGAAAACATAAACTTCTCCTTCGGGAAGTTAATAAAAAATATGAACTCTGTATAGTATTAACTATCAAGTTAAATCCTATAAAAGTAATAAATGATTTTAATTACCTGTCGCCCAATGGACTACAGAATGTCTCTCATTGTCCAGTGCATCGATATCAGCCCCTTGAGCAATGAGAAGTGATACCAATGCAGTGTCACCTTGTATTACGGCCAAATGCAAAGGTGTCAAACCGTCACGGTCCGGGCTGTCCAGCAGACCCGGAGCCGCCGTGACGAGCTGGCCCGCCACCGCGCTGCCCCTGCAGTAGTGCAGTGCGGTGCGACGGTTTCGATCTTGCCGGTAAGCCGATACCGGCTGAAAATTAGGACAAACACATAATATATAATGTGACATAAAAATTTAATATATAATATTTCAAGGAAAATATAATAGTTTGATAGAAATATTGGAACATGTTGAATATACATACATTGGAACATACTATATTTTGTGTAAAAATATAAGAGATTTATATTAGGTTTTATCGGTTTTTAAAAACCGGTTTTCAGGAAAAAATTATGTAATTCGATTTGGTTTAAAGAAAAGAATTACGGATTTTAATGAATAAAAGGCACTTTAAACAAAATTGTAAATGATATAAAAACACAAATGCCAAGCGACAGCCTTTCTTCGTTTTAATGTTATGAAAATATTTACAGTTTTACAAATAAAAATTAAGCATAAACAAAGGATAACTGATTGCTTTTAAAGTTACTCAATCCTGGTCAATTATTATTTTTTGCCTGAAACTGTTTTAGTAAATTTAGTTTTCAAAAACCGGTTTTCAGGAGAAAATTATGGAATTGATTATTTATTAGTAAATAATGTCAATCAAAAACTGCTTTTAAAATTTAAGTAGCAAAATAGAATGGAAGTAGTAAAATTAATATAAATAAATTGATTAGTAAATAATTTCAATCAAAAACTGCTTTTAAAAATGAAAGTAGCAAAATGTGATAATTCTATAATAACAATAATATTAATAAATATTAATACGTACTTTAACAAATATCATGACCATATAAAAATTATCTGTATATATATATATATATATTATATATACACATATATATATATTTATATATATATATATATATATATAAATTCTAAATATATTATAATGTTGGAATGTTATTGAGGCAAATAGAACGTAATACAAAGTAGAGTAATCATTTCAACAAATTTACAAATAAAAAAATTACTTAGATATTTATATTGAATTTTAATGTGCCCTTTTATTAAAAACTTTAATTTAAACATTATATGTAGTATTGAACTATTGATTGTCCATTAGATTCTAATTTCATTTCGGTGGATTATTAAATTATTAAAAACCGCAACAAAACGTGGCCGGGTATGCTATATATATATATATATATATATATATATATATATTAGAGTGGTCCTTAATATGGACATTTACAAATTTCCTTGCTCCCAAGAGCGCAGATGGTTCCAAGTTGATAAAAAACAATTCTCTGAAAGTTTTAGCTCTTATATTGTCTTTTAGATAGAGCGCAATTCAATAAAAGTTTTGTATGGAAATAGCATAAAAAAATTTTGCAGACCATTGAATTTTCAATAAAAAATGATACGAATTTTCACTTTTAATTCATTTGTTGCTAAGTTATACCTAAACATTTTTTTTTAATTTACTAAATTTTTTCCATGTTATTTCCATACCAAGTTTGATTGAATTGCGCACTATCTAAAAGACAATATGAAAAGCTAAAACTTTGAGAGAATTGTTTTTTATCAATTTGAAATCATTTGATCCCTTGGGAGCAAGGAAATTCAAAAATGTCCATATTAAGGACTACCCTAATGTATATATATACATATACTAAGTCTTTATTTTATGTACGAATGTATTTAGTTGACTATTTGTTTCGTATCTATGGATACATACAAATGTATTTGAAAATGCAATGCAGTTTTAATATTCGGTAAACTTACTTATTTCCATACGAATTATTGAAAAACAGTTGACCTAAATATGTTAGCACGTAGTACTTTAAATAATGAATGAAATGTGTACACAATTTAAAAAACTTTAAAAAAAACTTAAAAAAATTAAATTGATTCTTGAGTAAAATAATAATTAATTAATTATTAATACTAATATTAATAATACATAATACTAAAAAAATAATAATTAAATTTGATGTTTATCATCAACTCTTTATAATGAATCATCAACATGCTCCATCAAGTATTGTGCATATCAAGGCATTTATACAATAACGCGAACGAAATAAATATTACACATAATTTAACGAAAAATCATTTTTATCGTGTTGATTTTAATCACTTTCATAATAGTTTTCACTACATATTGAATTTTAACAGAGCACTTATTATATTTCGAATAAATGAAAATGCGCAGAAATGAAAATGCAACCTGTTCCCCGAGAATCCGCACGACACCTGGCAGGTCGCCTTGTTGACAGGCGTACATCAAGCCGGAGCTACCTTGCTTCAAACAGCCCAATCGTAACCTGGACGACGACGGCGCCTCGCGGTGACTTCTCATTGCTCAGCGGCCTAAGACACCGAACAAGGCGCATGTCCCAAGATCTCAGCTCACCATTACTTGGATTTATAGAGACAGCTGATGAAATATAAAGAAAGTACTGTCTTAATGATCCTAGTAATATTAAATTGAAGTATTAAGTTTAAAAGATATGTAATTTCAACTCTTTATCAAATTTCAAATAAAAAATACATAATTGTGGATTCGAACTTACAATCTTTTACGTTTGTATATTCTGTAATTATGAATTGGCGAATTTAATAATAAGCTTCAAGACAAATAACCTACAAATAGCTATAACTTCTTATATATATTTACCATGAACGTGGCTTTGACCATAACACTTTACTAAGAAGAATTTGGTATTCCTTCTCTTGCCTCACGTAGATTTATCTGTACAATTATGTTCTTATTTAAACTTTGCAATAATTGTATAGACTGTCCTATTATTCTTAACCTTTAATGTTCCAAGACTATCTACGCGTTCACAATTATTTTTCAATTATCCTACTTCTAAATCTAATTCTCTCTTAAATTCGCCTATTTTACTTATATCCTCTAACTTTAACTTTATTAATAATGAAATAGATATTCACAACACTTCACCTAATCAAATAATCTCCATCTGCACAAGTTAACCTTTTTATTTTCTTTTCAAATATCTCATTATTTTATCTTATTCTGTATATAAATATTATTGTTACATTCTGTATTATATGTAATTTTATGTTAAGTATTTTATGTTAATAACTATATTTTGTAATTTTGTATATATTTTAATTGTTATTCATTATGTAAAATAATTATATTTTTGAGTCCTCTTGGAAGAAATCTGTGGGCTATATATTTAAAAATAAATAAATAAATAACAATACTGAATAGTTGTCTGCCCGAAGGCAGGTCCATGGCGATAGCTTTTAAATAAATTTTACAGTAACTTTATTAAAGCTATTGATGAGTAATTGTGTTCACTCCAATCAATTTTTATGTCAATTGAATCAAAGCTTTTTGATAAGAATTTTCGCTACAAGTATCCAGTGATAACTATTAGTTACTATTATTAGTTAAGACGAAAAAAGCACAAAGTTTATTAAGTTACGAATAAAAAAGCATAAGCTAATGATGAGTAATTGTGTTCACTCTGATAAAATTTTATGTCAATTGAATCAAAGCTTTTTGATAAGAATTTTCGCTGAAAATATCCAGTGACAAGTATCAATTACTATTATTAGTTTCACGAAGCACGAAGCTTTTCAAGTTAAGAATAAAAAAGCACAAGCTATTGATGAGTGATTGTGTTCAATCTGATCAATTTTATGTCAATTGAATCAAGGCTTTTTGATAAGAATTTCCGCTACAAATATCTAGTGACAAGTATCAATTACTATTATTAATTAAGAATAAAAATGCACAAAGCTTATTAAGTTACAAATAAAAAAGCACATGAGTAATTGTGTTCACTCTGATCAATTTTTATGAGAATTGAATCAAAGCTTTTTGATTAGAATTTCCGCTACAAATACCCAGTGACAATTATCGGTTACTATTATTAGTTAAGAATAAAAAACTCAAAGCTTTTTAAGTTAAGAATGAAAAAGCACAAGTTATTGATGAGTAATTTGTGTTCACTTCAATCAATTCTTATGTCAATTGAATCAAAGCTTTTTGATTAGAATTTCCGGTACAAATATTCAGTAACAATTATCAGTTACTATTATTAGTTAAGAATAAAAAAGCACAAAGCTTATAAAGTTAAGAAAAAAAGCACAAGCTATTTATGAGTAATTGTGTTCACTCTAATCAATTTTTATGTCAATTGAATCAAGGCTTTTTGATTAGAAATTGCACTACAAATATCCAGTAACAATTATCAATTACTATTATTAGTTAAGAATAAAAAATACAAATCTTTTTAAGTTAAGAATAAAAAAGCTATTGATGAGTAATTTTTATGTCAATTGAATCAAAGCTTTTTGATAAGTATTTCCGCTGAAAATATCCAGTGACAAATATCAGTTTCTATTATAAGTTGAGAAAAAAAAGCATGAAGCTTTTTAAGTTAAGAATAAAGAAATTGGAGAAGAATTGTGAATGTAGAGAACGCAGTGATTTTTGTTTTAAATAAAGAAAATATATATAATAAAGAAATTATTCATTATATAATTAAAATAAATAAAACAATATATTTAGCATAAATAATTTTGCCTAAATATGCATTTTATATAAAAAATTTGAAATAAAAATAATTCTTGATAATTTTTAAAATTTTCAAATATGTCACTGGAAGGCTTTTTTATAAACATTTTTGTTTTTGTATAAAAAAACATAGAACCCCTGATCTAAATTGGAGCTAATTTGCTCCAGTCACAAAAATATAAAAATATTTGATAAACAAAATAAAAACCTTATACTACATTATAACCATATTTTGATAAAATATTTTTAAATTGTAGCCTCATAACTATTTTTTATAAGTACACAAATGTTCTAATCAAACATAAAACTTGCTATTTTCAAACTGCTGCTAATGAATAAAAATTGCAAATCACTCGCTCTAATTAAATTAATTTGTTTCTGTAAAATAATATGAGAGCTTGAAGCACTAATAATATTTTCATTAAAAAGCACATTATATTTACAAGGTTATTGTAAATATTATGTATTTTTATAGCAGTACGTTGAAAGATTTACGATACAGTATAAAAAGCACTAGGGTAGATTTTTTACATAAAATGCTTGACCAAAGCTTCGTGTTAGTACACCGGTCAGGGTCACCACCAAACAAGGTGGGTTGGGGATGGTAGCAACTGAATGGTTAATCGGAGGGCTGCAGGGGAAAAATCAGTCAAAACTGGTAGACAAGAAAATTCAAGTATTCAATTAATCTTTTGACTTTTCAATTTTTCAATATAAGGCTTAAAAAATATATATAAGCTTTCATAAAGAGTTTCTAGTTAGTTAGTATAGCTATAGTACAGTTGATTTTCAAACTGTGATAAACTTTTAATTTTGTTTTAAAAGTGTATGTTTAAACTATTTTATTCAATATGTATAGACAACAAAATTCAGCAGATATAAACAAAAATCAAGCCTATTAATCAAATAGATCACTCATAATGAGCACTAGAAATATAAGAATTTTAGCATAAAAAAGTTAATGAGTTAGCATTATTCAGTTTCAGTCGAAGAAAACAGTCAATAAAATTGCAAATACATAAAAAAATAAATGCATATCAATAAATATATCAAAATATTTATATAAACTTAATATTATTTTATAATTATTCTTGCATTTATGAATACCAATCATTATATGATGGAATTCACGTTTTGTCAACAAACGTTTCCCAAAAAGAGTTTAACAATAGCACACACGTAAAAATATGTTCATATTAATATATTTTATTAATATATTTTATTAGCTACTTTAAACACAAAGGCTAGATCGAAAGATAATACATCATTTTTTAAAAATATGTTAAATCGTTCTATTTTCTTAAAAAAATCATGATATCTAATGACAAAAATTAATAATATTAATATCAATATTATTCTTATATCAAATCGAATATTTCAAGCCATTTAGAAAACGTATAAAACATTTAACTTACAATTATCAAAGATCATTGTAAAAATTATAGAAAATAAATTAGTTAACAATAATAACCATAAGCCTAATGGGATAAAAATTGTGCTTGGAAAAACAGCTGTAACTATTTTTTTTCCAAAAATCTAATAAATAATAAAATTTATATATAAACATATATTATACATATATATATATATATATATATATATATATATATATATATATATATATATATATATGTATATACATACAGCGTGTCCCAGACCTTGACGTCAAGCCGAAACGAGGTGAAAAATCTCACGTTGTTTGGAAATTTCGAGCTTTTAAGCGCAACGTAGAGCTTTGGTGAAATTATGACCATTTTTCGGTTATTGTTATGTACTAGCAAAAATAATGTCATTTTTGGGTTTTTATTTTTTCATACAAAATTTTTCAATAGTTAAATCCTAAAAATGCATTTTACATAGCAAATTTAAAGACAAAAATATTTCTTGATTCAAAATTCAAAGATATCTATGAGAAAAGTGATATTATTAAATATGAAGACAAAAAAAAGGAGTTCTTATATATTGCTCCAACATGGTTTCTCAACTCTCCGTCTAAATTTGTGTGGGGTGAAATGTGAAACTAAAAAGCTTTGCATGCCGAAACATTCTATTTTCCAACTAATGACGCTATTGGTGTACGTCTAAGCCGAGAAATATGATTCTTCGGACCATATCGAAATCCTTGACCTTTCTGATAATCATGCGAAAATGGAGGAGAAATCAGGATATGAAGGAAAACGATAAAGGCAATTAGAAAATGATGTATGAAATAGATAAAACTGGAATTAGCTATTATGAAAATTACATCCGCTGAAAAACATGATAGTCATATAAATCAGGATTTACAGGGATACTGTTCAGTAATTTATGATGAAAAGCTAACCTATTGGTGCAATATAATCAATGATGTATAAATAAGTATTGCAATATATTTTTGACTGAAGTTATAAAATTGATTTTTTGAAAAAATTTAGTTAAACCAAAATTTTTGACAATTGAAAATAGCTCCTTCTATATATAAATATTACAGTAATTATGTAATTAATTTCATGTAGTATGTCATTAAAAATTCGTTTCTCGAATTTTAGCTTAATGTACGAACTTTGTATTAATTGCGATAACAAAAAAACATATAATTTATTTGTTTGGCGAAACTATTGTCTAATTTTGGGCATGTAAATCAAACAATCTATTCATAAGCAATGTATATAAATTAACAAATAAAAGTAAGTAAATAAAAAAATTGTTTATGAGCTATATCAAAAAATTCGTTCTGAAACAAGGACGTATTGGAAATAATTCATTATATACATTGCCAAATAAACTGTTTCAAACATAACTTTTGATAAAAAAATTTGATAATG